GGGGGGGGGGGGGGGGAGAGATGACATCCTTATAGAAGATAGAAACAAGCAAAAGACAAACAAAATTATCAATAGAATAAGGTGCTGCAATCCTTTGGTACATATGAAGATTCCGTTAGATTATAAACCTTCCACAAAAGAGAGGTTAGAAAACTGACTTTGTCCTATATTTGATCTAGAAGCTGAGAAGAGTTCTTGAACACACAACATATCTCTCAAGTCAAATACACCATAAAGCAGCATAGACAATGGCCTCATTAGTTCTACCAAAGCCTTTGAAGCTAAACAAAAGAAATTGTCCAGCAAAATGGGAAAGGGAATGTCCACAAAAATGCTCCCTCACTAAGAAAATAAAGTCATTAAGGGAATCAGGAAAACACATTTGGCCTTGCAAGTTAGTCAAATAATTCAGTGAGAATCAATTTCTTCTACTGATATCATTTTGCTATGTTGCTTTGGTAAGAGGAACAAGGCAATCAACTATGAATTGTTCAAAAAACTTTATTAGGTGAATGCTCAAGATTGGGTACATAGATTGCAGAATGAAAATCATTACCTAGATTTCCTTAGTCTTAATTTAAACAGTTTCTTACACACACTCCCTTACACAAGAGCCCTTTGGGCTTGAAGTGTTGACAGTGCATCAACCTACTCTACTGTTTGCTGAATTTTCAACTCTTTATTTTGACAATGGGGGAGGCAGGGATTGAAATCCTAACCACTTGTTCATAAGAGGCTTTGATACCATGTCAAATAACAATTATCTTAGAAGCTAATGATAGATGAAGAAGATTGGTTTTATATCTTCATAAAAGGTAAAGAAGTCTCCTTAAAATAAATAGATCTTCATTATTTATTCTAACTAGTTGATGTTTCTCACCTTAAATTCTAACTTCAGTAATTTAATTAAATGGGATTCACTATCACATATATGTTACAGAAAACAAGATTAATATATATGGTTATGCTATGTTATGAGTACATTTAAAATTCCTATCAACTTACAGGTAGGCAGGCAGAATAGGATCTTGCATTGGATTCACAAAAGGTGTCACCAATTTATAATTTTAAATGTTACATTGCGTAAGCACTTCCATGCCTTCCATCAAAGTGAGAAACATCTACTATAGGCAGTTTCGTAGATGACAAAAGTATCCAAGTAGGACTAAAATGCATGCATGCAACTATATTCTCATAGAAGCAAATAAATCCGTACTTTCAGCATAATGATAACTATAACTGTCGTTGATAACAGTTTAGAATACTATCCAAGCAAAACTATATATGCAACAGTACAAGGGGATGAAGATGGGAAGGGAGAAAAAACTTACCACATGCCCAAAGACGTCATTGTCAACCTCCATGTGGGATCGACCAGGGGTTTCAAGACTTAAGATAGGAGGTAAAATATTTAGTTCTCTCACTAAATAAATAGTATTCACTATCCCATAGTCCACCCTTACAAATGGCTGATGCTCATCATGCCGCCACTCACCATCCACATTAAATTTGTACTGTACATGTGAAGAAAAATAGCAACATTAGTAATTATAACAGGTCAGAGTGTAAAAAAACATCAACGATAAAATAAATAACAAAATAACAAGAAGTTATCGATTTAATGACGAATCTTGTCATCACATGGAATGGACATCTCGTCAAAAGTTAACATAACAAAATGTATTCATACCAAATATATGGTGATATAAATTTTTAATCCTATTCAATGCCCATTAAAACCAAATCTACTAACTGTCCTTGATAAAATTATAAGGTTTAAGTTATTGAGGGAGGAAATTGGGAGAATAGAGACTTTGAATAAAATTTTCAAATATTGTGATGTGTTCAATAAATACAAAGCAAACAAGCACCAACCCTTATTTATACTAATACTAGATTATAATCATTATCCTAAATAAATAAAGAAACAAATCATGAGCTAATTAGGAAATATGAAAATTAATCCAGAGATTTTATCTAAGATATTCTTAATTCTTCCAAGATAAATCAAGATACTATTGATATTTTTCATATATTGTAGCACTGTCCCTCAAGTTAATGCTTACTAAGCTTAATAATTATTGGATATTTTTCATATACTCAAACATTCTTCCTCAATTTTAAGTTTGTATGCTTTAAGCTTTTCAGTTTTCACAAATAAACCGTTTAAAAATAATATGGCCTCTACCAAACATAGCTGAAATGATCATCATCCTTGAGAGCTAGTTGGAATGTAGCATGACCAGGTGCATGACTCATCACTCAGATAGGAGAAATCACCATCAGAATGATTCACTAGGAGGCTGGTAAGAATCACAGTCAGTTTCATCTCTACATGACTTCTTGGTAAAACTAAGTCATCAAATGATCATCAGTGGAAAGAAAACATCAGACTGTTTGGGGTAGAGACAAGGTGAGACTGTTTGGGACTAAAGACCAGTAGGACAAGAGCTTCCGGGGCTGGAGACTAGCAGGGGCAAACCATGTCCAGAACAAAAACTGAGACCAGATATCATCTGGTACAAAAACTGACGATGGCCAACCATATCTAGGACAAAGATTGAGGCTAGGCTGCATCTGAGACAAGAAAATGGTAAGGAAAAATTGCTAGCCACAGCAGCAAAGGGGGGATTGTCATATGTAAAAACATGGAAATAAAGTAGTCGGATTTTACGGAACTCCATAGTGGAATAGTAACATGATAGGTCAAGGAGGATGTTACCACTCTGATATCATGTTGAAATTATAAGGTTTTAGATGTTGTGGGAGGAAATTGAGAAAATAGATTGTTTGAATAAAATTCTGGTGTTTTGTACTAAATCATAATCTTAACTATATACGGAAACATGAAACTAATCTTAAAAGATAATCAAAGATACTCTAAATTACGCTAGATATAATCAAGATACTATCAGATATTCTTCTTATATTCTACCAGTCCTTAAATCTAAATACAAAAATGTTTACACCAACAATACGGAAATCGGTCCTGATAAAAGAAGGAATATAAATAAAAAGATCATAATATATATTACTGAAAATTTACATAACTAACCAAGAATATGTTGTATATTTGCCCATGTTTAATTCATTGTAGAAAATTTATACCCAACAGGGTTTTCTTTTCTTTAGAAGGGACTGAGTTGAACCTATAAATTCTACCCAAATCACAGTTCGTCCTTGCCACTTGAGTTGGGCCATAGCATCAGTTCCCACCCTAAAATTAATAATCTTGTTTTCTTACATCATTTCATTCACTTGAGATGGACAAGCCAAATTTTTTTTTTCAAAAAATCAATATAATTAGAAATTGCTCCTTCAAATATAATAACAAAAAAGGCTTAATTCCCAATGAACTTGTAGCTCAACTGGTCCAATCTATAAGATGGGAATGTAATGAAGATGCAAGTAGTTTGATCCTCCAGTAGACCTCCCAAGTAGTTGTACCTTCATTGAACCATAAAAAAAGAAAGAAAAAAAAAAGGCTTGATTGTATTTGTTGGTTCTTCTTTTTATTGGATGATACACAGTAACAGTAAGAACAAAAATTAAAACGGGCTTTCAATTTTTAGATTTGGGAAAAGATGCAAATCAAAATGAAATGACAAAATAATTTTGTAAATTGGTGGCTAGAGCAATATGTCATTCTCCAGTGTCATATATTAAATATGTAAATAGAAGGTAGTCAATCTGCTATCTCGATTATGCGCAAGACTCAGAGCATTAGATGGTAACATCAATAACACCTTTTAGTCTAACCTACAATATAGATGCCAATGTTGTTTGTAAGAAAACACTCTTGCCTACATTACTTTCTTCGATCTGAATGGTGCAAAATTACCAAAAGTTTTCTTTTTTAAAATTCAACCGTTAACAATTAATTGTGCAATCATATTTACAGCACAAAAAGGGGACTAGACACTCTTGTCCCTCATATGAGTCCATGCCAGATTTTTACCCATAAATACAGTTATAAAGTGATAGAAACACCTAACGAAAGATATAAATCATCATGAAGTTATTTGTTTGTTTCTGCGACTACTCTATCATATCAAAATCTTAATCACACAATGAGGTTTAAATTAATTCATTTTACAAGCAAGCTCCTTCTTTATCCTTTCTATTTTTCCCAGCAAAATGGGCAACCAAACTCGGTGTCAGCAATCTCCTCATCCCCCATTCTGATCATGAAGAAAGAGAGAGAGAGAGAGACGCATTCTGACCTATAGGTCATTCACCATATATAGATTCAAGACATTTTTTTTTTTATATCATAAGTAGTTTATTTACTCAGATTTAGCCAAATTCATAGAGCCTAAACAACCTGATGATATCCTGGCGTTAAGCTGCAAATAACTTGAAATACAGTCGGGCATCCTTCAATCGGTGACATAGGTATAAATGCCGACCACCTGTATATACAAAATATATATATATAT